TCCCCCCTGCCCCAGCGGTTTCAGGGCGGGGGCGGGGGGGACCGCGCAGCCGCCCCGTCCTCAGCGACTCGAGCCCAGCCGCATAGCAACCCGGACCGACCCCCGCCCCCCGCTCCTTCACAACACCAACAACACCGCGCCTCATTGGGCGCCCTCTCACACCGCACCCCCCACCCAGCAAACTCCGCCCTCACTGGCTAGTGTGGGAGGGGCGTGGCCAGGAGAGGGGTGGGCCGGGCCTGCAGGCCGCGTTCGGGGAGTGGCGCTGAGGTGGGAGGAGGGTCTGAGCGGGCTCCGAGACAAGCAGCCGCGGCGCTTGCGGGGCAGGGAGCCCCGGGCCGGAGGTACTGAGGAGCACGGGCGCTTTGCGGGACACAGCGGTGATTCCGCGGTCCCGGCCCACGGAGCATAAAGACGACAACCGGCGGGGCTGGAGGTCACCTCGGGACGGCGGTGCCAGGGGCTCGCTGTCTTGGCTAGTCCCTGTTTTATTATTCCCTGCCGCTGGGAGGGTGGAGTCCTTCCCGCCCGGGTTACGCCGGCACGGTGACTCTTTATTTATTTGTTTGTTGTTTGAGTTTTAAGATTAACCCCGTTTCAAGAAGGTAGTGTGAGCAACGCACTTATTTCCGTGATTGTTTTTTCTTAACATCAGTTATTCCTCCTGTTGTAAGTGAGTTGGATCATTTGTGGTGCTTTGGTTGATCTGAGACCTCAGTGTCCAGTGTAAGGGAACCCGTTAAACAATGTCAGTATTTACTGCAGCAGGAGGTCGTTTTCAGGATCATCTGAAATGACCCTTAGTTTAAACTGTTTCCTGACACATGGCAATTTGCAGTGTTGAAAAGCACTGGCAAATGCAATGACTAGGAAATGCAAAACAGACCTCAAAACAAAACCCCCTCCCTTGGGTATTTTCTTACTCTAACGATTTGTTTTTCCCCAAATTTCAAATTGAGAGATTTGTCCAGATTAAAGTGTTCCCTTTGTCTCCACCTGCTGGCAGAAGCTCATATTAATCACTGGATCAGCAATTTATGCTTGGAGAACTATAAAAATGTTTGGCTGATAGTAGCACAAAGGCTGCCTGTTGAATCTGGTTCACTTGTACGGCTCTTCAGAAACATGAAATCTAATATTCAAGAGTGTTACAAGCTTATTAATTTCTGATCAGATAGAGGAAAACCCTCTTGACCTTTAGATTTAAGTTCTCATGGCCTCTAAAAGCTTAGCTGATGTCTAAGAAAGATCTTGGACAGGCTACTCCCTTTTTCCCATATCAAAGACAAGATTTTCTAGGATATGAAGTGATCAATAATGTGACCATTTGTTAGCAAGTGTCTAATAGAAAATAGGAGGATTCCTTCCTACACTGAATCCTGGAACAGGGTCAAAACATGAGGCCATTGCGTGGAACCTCAGAGTTTGCATCAAAGAAGATGCAAAATTGCAAAGTACCACTAGGTAATTGTTCCAGCCCCACAGAGAGTCTCTCATTGCTCACAGAATTGGCAAGAAGAAAGAGAAGTGGTATGGCTTGGTTTCGGAGATTGCCTTTCTTTTTGAGCATGTCTACATGCTGCCCTACAGCAACGTAGCAACATGCTACATCGCCATATGATGTACAGGTCTACATATGATCACCCATCTACGTTACTGTAGTGGCACACTCCCTGGTTATAGTGTGCCACTATAGTGACATAGTGGCGAAATCTAACTGCGCGCCAAAAGGAAGTACTAAAGCACAACGCTGTAGCAGTGTCTCTGTATGGGGACATGTAGATACGCCCTTTGCATTCTTTAACTGAAAGGGATCTTAGGTCTGCACTCTTTCTAATGAGACATCAAGGAATGATGCTTTGGGATTTTTAACTAGTAAATGCTATGTGGACACTTCTCCTTTGTAAATCCAAATATGTCCCTTCAACCCAAATCCTAAAATAGGGACTCTTGTCACAAGAAGGGAGGAACATGTGACATATGATGGGAAGACAGCTCCTGGGTCAATGTGTACAGTTTCATTCTATCACTACAATATCAACCATATCATACAATTCCTTTCTAAACTCATACCTTTAAAACTGAAGTCAGTTTCTAGGCTTCTGTTGGATGCTACAAAGTTTTACACCTAATTTTCAGCCTAAATTTGTTCATGGCCAGTTTAAACCTGTCTTTTCTTAAGCCAGCATTGTCCTTTAACTCAAATGTGTGGTTCTTCTCTCTCTCTAGGATGCAAGTTCTTGGTAGTTTTTACATTTTTTACTTTGTAACCCTTCTGCTGAGCACCTGTCAGCAGCAACAAGGGCTGAGTTCAATTCTGGGGTACTAAATATATTTCACCTTGGCTTAAATCCCTACCCAGACTACCTGGGAAACATGAATCACTTGGGTGTCCAATAAAACCAACAAACCTTCCCTCACAAGCAGTGTAAACACAAAATTAAAATTTATTACAAAGAATAAAGAAAAATCAAAAGTAAACACTAACTATAATTGTAAAATGCTATAAACTACAAAACAAAGTCTATAGGTGGCACCATCTTGAGGAGGCTTTACCCATACCCAGGCAGTCTGGGACTTGGGGTTCCCTAATGGGTAGTTCTGGGGGCCTGCACTCCTACACCTGTCCTTTAGCAATGGGCTGGAGAGGGGGACCCACACTGGAGAGTCCAATGAGCTGCACCATGGGTCTATTGCGCCACAGGGAGCTGCTAGAGAGCATAGGTCTTTCTGCATTGCAAAGGGCCCCTCACTGTTCCCTGCAAAGCTGTAGCTCTGATCTCCACTTCCACGTAGTGGCTTTGAGAAGTTAACTAGTTTTTATCAACATATTGCACCCCAAAGTTTCTAGCCCTAATCCCAGCTCTGCTGGGGCAAGAAACTGCAAGAGAACTCAAAGAAAAGCCAGCAAAAAAGCCTGAACTGCAACCAGCACCAACCATGATGATTGGTCAGGACACAGAGCTACGTGTGCCAGGCACAAAACGTGCCAGGCCTCAAGCCAGACCCAGACATGCATCAAACGTACAGAGGGGCTCAACAATACAGCTATGCTGAGATACAACAGCTGTAAAACAATAAAAGGGGGACTCAGGTCTGTCCTGCAGCAGGGCCTGAACATACAATGAAAAAGCGCCAGGCCTGTTTGGCCTGGACATTTAGTCTCAGCTGCACTGCTGTGCTGAGACCAACAACTATGAAACAATACAAGGGGAGCCGGGCTGATCTTGGCTTGGGCTTAAACTACAACTAGCACCCAACCACACTGCTTGCTTGGGGCATAAACTGCAAAGGGGACAAAGGAAGGCCCAGGCCTATTTCACTGGGCATGGACTGGGTGGCAAAAAGCCGGCCAGGCCTATACAGCACTGAGGCTGGGGTTCAGCCCCACACAAGTGGGCTGAAATGCAACAGCTGTGAACAGCAAAAAGAGCCTGGGCTTACGGCTGCAACCTAGACATCAAGTCTCAGCTATCCCATTGTGTTGAGACACAAAATCCCCAACACAGGAGCTAGTATCGACCAGGACCCAGTTCCTGGTCAGTCTGTACTGGGGAATAAATACACTCACACTCATGGCATCATCCTACTCAAGGCCTGCATGGCCAAAACTGCCAGCAAGACACACAGCTGGGGTTCAGTGCACAGCTATGCTGAACCCAAAAGAAGTTCTAACAGCAGCTGAAACCTCCCAGGCTCTCAGCTCTGGCTCAGAGCACGCCAACAAAACTGCCAGGCTCTAACCTTGCCTAGTTTGCTGCAGGGATTGATGCCCCCCAGCATCATCCCACTCAAAACCCAGAAAAAAACAAAGAGGAAAAGAACAGGTAGAAAACAGAGGTCTCAAGCCCTAAGATAGACTTTCTCTCCCTGAACCTGAGGCTTTCCCTTCTCATAGCTTCAGTTTGTTTCTCCAGTGAAGAAGTGGGGGAGAACCCTCCTCCATGGAAAGCAGGCTTTCTGGCTCCCAATTCAGCTTTCAGCAGCCCCAAGAGCAGAAACAGACCACCTGATTTAAGGGCCAGGTGGCCTGACCCTTAAACCACTTTTCTGACATCTGGTCCCAACCAGAAACAGCATCATTTGACACTACTAATGCAGACCAATCAATTCAAAGGTAGTCATTGCACCTGAAGATGTAGCCAATCACCAACCTGGAGGGATTGGTGTAGCCAATCACCAACCTGGAGTCCCTTGGAGGGACTCTTACGACAATGAGGGGAGAGGAGGTCATCTTCCAGTCCTCAAAAAGGCACAGTATACAACACAAACAAGATTCACAGCAATATGAAACTAGAACACACTTTCCTACATACAACCCTAAGTGTGTGGGGATGTTACAACTTAAATCCCAAACCTCTTCCACCTGAAAGAGTCTGTCAGATCCAGCAGGTGTCCACAGGATGTGCTGTCCAAACCGAATCTACAGAATGCTGGTTGCTTAACTCTTTTTTTTCTTTTTGAAATTTGTTAGTGTTCCAAGCCAAATCAGCCAAATCAATTCCAAATCCATGAGTCAGTCAAGAACCATAAGTGGCCCTACTACCAGCAAACATCCTCTATCCCACCTAGGGCTTCAGATGTTTCTAAATCCTTGGGCAGGCATCCTAGTGTAGGCCCAAGCCCGGAGGCTTGGGGTTTGGAGGCCCCTGAGTTTTGCTTGCCCTTAGCCATAAGCAGGGCTATCCCTGCAGGGGCACGTAAATTGGTGCGACCGCCCCAGGCCCCATGCTTTGGGCAGCCCTGTGGACCTGGGCAGAGTGGCCACAGCAACTCTACACCGCTGCTGCTGGCTTTGCAGCCGGCTGCTCACAACCCCCTTCCCCCACCGCTGATGCTGATGCTGCCAGTGGGGGTGGCCACTTCTTCAGGGCTGGAGGCCCTGCACAAGCTGATTTGCCCTGGGCCCTGCACCTTGCTTGGGTTGGCTCTGGTCATACCGCCCTAGGAGCAAGCTAGGGAGAAGTCTCCCATTTCCATAAAGTGAGCATAAAGCCAAGATCTCACTGGAAGTGAAAGTGGGAGAATTTAATTTTTATTTAATTTGTATCTGAGGCCAAATTAGCCAAAACTAATTCCATAACCAAGAGTCCAGAACCGTAAGTGGCCCTACTACCGGCAAGCATCCTCTACCCGCACCGGGGGCTTCAGATGTTTCCAAAACCTTTGGTGGGCATCCTACTTGCAGGCCCAAGCCTAGAGGCTTGGGGTTCAGATGCCCCTGAGTTTTGCTTGCCCTGAGCCATAAGGCGCTCGGAGCAAGCTAGGGAGGAGACTCCCCTTTCCGTGAACTGGGATTAAAGCCACTGCACCTCGGTGGGTCCCAAACCACACCAGAAGGGCGGTTCTCCTGCAATGCGGTTCAGGAAAACTGCCTTCTTGGACACAGATACACGGCATTTCCCCTGCCAGGTTGAGAAGCCACCACACTTGATCTGAGCCATCAAGAGGCCAAGAAGTGAAAGTGGGAGATTAACTAGACATTACCTCCGTGGGTACTACCCTGTGCCAGGACAGCATTTTAACCCCGGGTGCAACTAGGAAAACCGCCTGGGTGCTCACTGCGTTTCCCCTGACGGGTGACTTGCTTACAGATAAGAGGCCTCCTGATTTAAAAAGCGCTGTCCAACGCGAAAGCCGGCCTGAAGAGGAACCTACCCATCAAAGGAGTCAGTTAAACCCCTTAGACTCAGTAAAAAGCCCCTGTCCTCCACGGGCAGAGATGTGGCGGCAGGGTGGGCCCCGCGCCCCGCACTTCCCCTTGATCGGGGCTGAGGAAAACATCCCGAGGCAGCCCCTGCCCCGGAGGCAGAGCCCAGCCTGCCCGGGGCCCGGATCATCCTGATCAAAGC